TATCATTCTAGTATCGGAATGACATCGTATGAGGCTTTGTAGGGTAGGAGGTGTAGGACTCCTTTGTGTTGATATGTGTCCGGCGAGAGTGTTGTACTCGGACCTGAGATTGTGCAAGAGACGATTGAAAAGATCAAAAGGATCCAAGAAAGACGTGTTTTGAGAGTTATGATAGTAACTGGTGTTGGTCGAGCTTGAGGTCTCGGAAGCACACTGTGTTTTGTTGATCTGTATCAGAGTGGTGCAGCGGAAGCATGGGGAAAGTAGCATGTTAGACTGTTTTACCGCTGTCACTTGTGGGAATTGCATGATATGTTCATGTGTCTAAGCTGAGGAGGTACATTGATTCAGATGGATAGTGTACGAGTGAGGGAGGATTTGACTGTTGAGACATTGCTAGTTCAGGTTGATGAACGAGAAGCAACTTTGAAGTAAAGGGATTCCTTTGGTAGAGGTAGTTTGGGAGAAAGTTGGATTTGGGATGCGAGAGTCGTATCCAGAGTTGTTTGAATCAGGTAACATTTTCGAGGACGAAAATTCCTAAAGTGGGGGACGGTTGTAACAGCCCAATTTTCATTAATTAATTATTTATGTTAATTAATTGATTTATTGAAATTATTGGATAATTATTTTAAATGATTTGGTAGATAATTGGAGAGAAGAAAATATAATGGAAAGAAAAGAAATAGAAGAGAAAGGGAGAGAAAGTGGAAAGAAAAGAGATAGAAAGAAAAGATAGAAAGGAAAGAAAGGAAAAAGAAGAGAAAGAAAGAAGGAAGAAGAGAGAAGAGGAGAAAATAAAGGAAAAGCTTGGAATCATCAGAATGACTTCTAGCTTCCGATTAATCAAGTAAGGGTGTGAAATGTTGTTATCTTACCAACGTATATGATTAGGTATGCGTGTGTTTGGATTTGTTTGGATGTTTTCATCTTTTTCCATTTTAGGGCAGAAAGAGGTTTAATCGGTAGAATCAAGGTTTTGAACGGTTAGAATCCGAAATAAATGGCGTAGTTTAGTCGGGTAATGTTGGGTTGAGACTATTGGAACTGATTGGAATTAAATCGGTTGATTTTGTGATGATTTGGTGATTTTGGACTGTTTGGGGTTCTGAGTTCGCAGATTCGCTAGCGTTCGCTAGGCGAGCAGAAGCGAAGGTTCGCCAGGCAAAGCCCAGCGAGTGGAAAACAAACCATTACAGTAGCCAAGATCAGCCTTCGCTGGCGTGTTTGCCAGGCGAAGGAGGTGGCGAGCAAGTTCACCAAGCGAGTGAACCAGCGAGTAGGCAGCGAACACTTCCAGTAGCTACTGCTTGCCTTCGCCAGTGAGATCGCCAGGCGAATGAAGCAGCGAGCATTCGCTAATGCTTCGCCAGGCGAATGGGTCAACAAATGTGACAGCACCTTATTTTCCTCGTGTTTTCCATCCAATATTGATTGTTTGGTTCAATTATGTTCAATCCTTATCAGAAATGAATAGTTTGTGTACTATTGTGATATGTTATGCTGTGGGTAGCTGTATGGCGTGAATCCTAGATTATGGAATCGATTGTGAAATGTGGCCTTTTGGCATATATAATGCATTGTTTACATTGATTAAAAATGTATGATAAATATGGTTGAGTTTGTTGCCGTTTGGCACAATGATGTGAATGCATAATGATTTTTATGCGATTGTATGTGAAGAATGCATGAGAACATATTGTGAATACGTGTGCATTGCTTGATAAATGTGGTCTTTTGACAAATATATTCATTGTTTAAATTAATTAAAAGTGCATGATGAATGTGGTTGAGTTCGTTGCCGTTGGCGCGATATTGTGAATGCGTATTGATTGTATGCAATATTGTGAAGAATGCATAGGAATATATTGTGAATATGTGTGCATTGCTTGATAATTGTGATGATGTTGAAAGTATGAATACCTTGATATAATGTGCGAGTGTGCAATCATGATATAATTCTTGTGTGATGAATTATTTGACTATGCATGAGATTAAGATGAGAGAACGGTCTTAAGTGCATATGATTGTTGATTGCATACGCATCATTTGTGTCAAGAGGCAATGTTTGTTAGTTCAGTGGGAGTTAGTGACTTGTCCCAAACCTAGAGCGGGGTTTGAAAGCTTATGGAATGGGCTTTTGTTGTTATCGGTCTAGGGAACGGACCCGGTTTAAATGTAAAAACCGAAAAATGATAACAAGTGTTGGTACCACATGACATTGAGTTGCATTGAGTCACATGGCATATAACATTGTTATATGGAAGTATGCATGTGTATGAATTGTTGAATGAGAGTTGCGATTGGATGAATAAATCTAATAGTAAATGTTTATGTGGAATGATGTGAATTGTGGATGTATGCATGATAAATATGTTTGGTGATTATCCATGGTTGTTTATGCATATATTGTGATGTATATGATGATGATAATGAATTATGGTGAGAAATGCGGAATATGTGTATTCTATGTTTATATATATATATATATATATATATATATATATATATATATATATATATATATATATATATATATATATATATATATATATATATATATATATATATATATATATATATATATATATATATATATATATATATATATATATATATATATATATATATATATATATATATATATATATATATATACATATATATATATATATATATATATATATATATATATATATATATATACATATATATATATATATATATATATATATATATATACATATATATATACATATATATATATATATATATATATATATATATACATATACATATACATATATATATATATATATATATATATATATATATATATATATATATATATATATATATATATATATATATATATATATATATATATATATATATATATATGCATTGATTATTATGATAATATTTCTCACCCTTCTGCTGGAATGATGTCCTATCTGACATCGTGCAGGTATCGAGAATAGAGCTGCTCGTAGTTGCGTGGTCGTTGTTGGTGTAGCCATTTAGTAATTTAATTATATTGGGTCGAGTCATGCTCTGGTCATGTAACACTGGGATCGTTTGATTTATATTTTAGAGATACATTATGTATTCTATGTTATGTTTTTATATTCATTGGAATATTATGATGTTGGCCTTGGTGCCTAAGTAATGTTGAAGTATGTGATGAATCTGAATATTCTGTTAAGAGAATTATGTTATAAAATGAATCCCCTGCTACATGCAAAGTGAAATTGTGAGAAGCATGATTATTTATTATAAGTGTTAATGAGCATGACAGGTGGTTTTGATGTTTCGAAAGTTATGTGTGACTCCCTTTTGTGAATGTATGAAAATTTATTCTGATTATTCGTATATTTTCCGTGGGGTTTAGAAGGGTGTTACAAAACCAAGTTACATATCAGAGCAAGACACCTCTATTATTAACGGAAATAGAGTAAAACAACTCCAAAGCTAAGTCTCCACGCATCTACGAGCTAATCTTGATCACCTGCACGTTACCCACGTGGAGGCAACATTCAAACGGATAGGGTGAGTAAGCACAATTCATTACAAAAGATATAAGGAAAAATATATAGTAGTTACAACAACAATTATCAATAATTTATATATTCGTCACACATCACACACATACTCACATTGTCACTTCATTAATTAATTCACAACGTCATTATATCATCAATCAATCATCATCACCAAAACATCACTTAAGTCACAACATCATCAAACATCATTTAACTCACAATTATGCAATGTCACTTAGTATGTAATGCAACAACACTGACTCATGCATGTGGTACCAATTCTTTGATGAACACTTGGTCATCTCCCTCCAATGATCCCCACCATAGGATCGATTCCCACTTGGAACCGAAGCACATCATAAAACACACTCAATCCCCACTCTATGAATCTAGAAATTAATTCACAGAGATACTTAAGAATGTGTCATTGCCATGAATTTGAGAAGTGATTAATAATACACACGTTCTATAATGGTCTTATTTATACCACTAAGATGGTAATAAATGTCATGAAAAACAAAAACTTTGAGAAGATATACATTTTAAAGGACGGGATGATGCAAAATCACTACTTGTGTTGAGCGAACATGCTCTACCACCAAATAAGTTATTTAAGTATGATATCAACGTCATTGATCTTATTACTTTTTAAATAAAACACATTATTTAAAAAGTCCGATAAGTTGAATATGAATGATGTTGCACCTATTTAGATATATGAAATTACGTATAACTAATTCAAAATGATCTATCTAATAGTTGAGTATTTTAAATATGTTAACAATTGTGATTTAATGACAACCTAAAAGCATTATCCAAAATTTAAATATGTTTAATTAAAAAAATACTTATATTTAAGATTAATATCTATGTATTAATTGTGTAAACTATTTTTTTACATATGCATCAAATTAAAACATTTGTAATACCACTTTGTGAATTATTCCAAAATTATCTCAACTAATATTTATTTAACGTTTGATTTCATGCATTAATAAACTTTTAACAAATACTCAGAAGAAAACAATAAAATAAAATATTTTTATTATAATATGTACTACTTTACATTTTTAACGTCACCACTAAAAAAAAGTTAACCGTAACCTAAACAAAATGAGATCATCAACAATTTCTAATTCAATTTGAATGAAACAAATTGTTCCCCAAGATTGTACTGTACTAGTACTTGATGAAAAGGGAAATTTAATGACAACTTAGATATTGGAATATTCTTCAAGCATATATAATTTTTTTTATAAACGTTAATTAAAATTTAAATAAGATAAGGATGATAGTAGCAAAAACCAAAACTATACTCGTTGAAAATTTCTTTATAAATTTTAATTTCACTTTCTTCTGTGCCAAGTCTTTCTCACAATTTTCAAATCCAAGATTTTAATTTTTTTCACTCTCTCTTACACAAACCCCAACACTCTCTGCCACCTCATCTCCGCCGCCATGAACGGCGGTGGTGGTAACTTCCCGCCACCGCAACCCAACGGCGGTGATTTCCTTCTCTCTCTTCTTCAAAAACCCCGCCCTCAGACTCAGACTCACCCATCCCAATCTCCAATCACCATACCTCAACAATCTCCCACCATGGATCCCGCCGTCGCCATGATGGGCCCCACAATCCCCTTCTCCACATCTCCGTATCAAACCAACGGTTACGATAATTTCAACCATTTCAACCATCTCAATCATCACCCTCATCAGAATCAGAATCAGAATCTTCCACCATGGTCCCACACACCTTCTCCTCCTTACCCGCAAAACACATTCGGGGTGCCCCATAACCCGTTTTCACTTCCTCCGGTACCAGAAACCGGTTATTCCAACAACACTACTCCGTTTCACTTCACCAACGGTGTTTCACTCGCTGACAATCTTAGAAGATTAGGGTTTCCGATTGAGAGCAATAACAATAACTGTGCTAATTCTTTCGTTCAGCAACATCAACAGAAACAGGAAGTGAAGTTACAGTTTGGATCTTTACCCACGGTTTCTTATAATACTACACCTGAAGTTTCCTCTAAGGGAAGCTTTAACGGGTTTGATAGGCATAATAATCATGAGAGAGGGGTTATTGGGGATTTTAGGTCAAATGCGCAATCTACTGAACAAACTAGGGCTCCACCCGGGGTTGGGAACAATGGAAATAGATTAGGGTTTGGTGAATTGGGTGGTACGAATGAGGATTTGTCAAGTAACCTGGAAATTTTGAGAATAGGGTTTGGTGAAAGGAGCAATAATAAAGGCAATGTGGGTCATGAATTGAGGCTGCCTGATCAGATTGACCACCCTGGTCCACCCTCTGGGAGTAATCTTCTTTCTGATTATGAGGATATTGGTGCTGTTGGAGAACAATTAGCTGGTTCCTTGTTGCTTGAGGATGAGGTTGATGACAAGAGTAGTAACTCTAAGAAACATCATGGTCCTAAGGAGAAGGTTAAAACTTAAATCTTTGTTGTTGATTTGTGGATCATTCTTAAAACTATATTTTGTACTAAATTTCAATTTCGTCTAAAGTATTTGGAGTATATGTTAGTTGTTGATATTGTGAATGTCGATACTATGGTTGTTTTAAATTTCTTTGGAGAAATGGATGTGAAAAAGTCTAGGAATTTGATTGAATTTTATAATTAGATGTCAATTATCAAATCAAATTATGAGGTTCATATGGTATTTATTTATATGTCTTCTTAGTATGAATTAAATGAAATGGAATCTCTATGAATGAGGGTTACTTACATCATTTATTATCAGGATGCTAGAGCTTCAGACTCAAGAGGAAAGCAGTTGCTAAGCCAGCGGGCAAGAACGTTTAAAAGACAAATGATATTCCGTAGGGACATTGATAGGCTTAGTGTTCCTTTCCTTGCAATATATGAATCTCTAATACCTCCCGAAGAAGAAAAATTGAAGCAGAAGCAATTGTTGGGGTTACTAGAAAAGTTAGTTTGCAAGGAGTGGCCAATGGCTCGGCTTTATCTCTATGGATCATGTGCTAATTCATTTGGTGTTTCTAAAAGCGACATTGATGTTTGCCTTGCTATTCAGGAAGTTGATATGGACAAATCTAAGATCATAATGAAATTGGCTGGTATTTTGCAATCAGATAACCTGCAGAATGTTCAGGTGAGATTATTGATATGCCCCTTAAATTGCTCTGGTGTATTTTTTGTTTACATTTATTTTCATATATAAATAAAGGGTAATGCTAACTTGTGCCCCAGATAAATATAAGAAATAATTCTTGGAAATTGTGTAATAAATTTAATACAGCCTTATAATTAATGACTTTATTGTTTTTTTCCATACATATTTTCTATTTGTGAGTTTTTTAACATGTGCCCTTGGGGCACAAGGTAGCATTACCCTTTATTTATATAACCTGCTATTTCATGGTGATGTCTTGTATGATGCTGGAAAAATAATCTCTATTTGGTAGGCATTTAGTTAAAATCAGAATCCTACTTGTACGGAATTGTAGTTTTATGATTGTTGTTATCACTAGCAATCCCTGTCAAGCGCTGAAACTCAATTTGGCGTGATTGTGGATTAAGGTAGGAGAATTGATGGGATAGTCACATAACAAACCGCGAATTGGTTCGCGCGTACCGTTTCACGGAACTTTTGCAATTTGGTTAGTCTCATAATGAACCGCGAATTGGTTAGCGTGTTCCGTTTTGCGGAATTTTTGCAATTTGGTTAGTCACATAATGGGAACATTTGCAATTTGGTTAGTCACATAACGAACCGCGAATTGGTTCGCGCGTTCCGTTTCGCAGAACTTTTGCAATTTGGTTATAAACAAGAAATAAAAAAACCAATTGCGAATTGAGTTTTAAATGAGACAATAATTGTCCCGCAATTTCGCATAAATTAAATTTGAGTTTAAATGAGACAATAATTGTCCAATAAACAAGAAATAAAAAAAAAATCTTTGAACTATTTTTTTAATTATGGAGAGGTCATAATCACATTGATATAAGTGAACACTATTGACCATACCAATCAAAATTTAAGATTTGCTTAACTAACACTCCCTCCTTTCCTATTTATAAGCAAATTTTAACATTTTAAATTCACTAAATAGTTAATGCATCTAACTTAAATATAATCTAAATGCATCATTTATTGAATGAATCTAAGAAGTCAAAATTTGCTTATAAAAGAGAATAGAGGGAGTATAGGAGAAGTGAGTATACACTAGCTATTTATTACTGGTTTTTTAAAGCAATGTTAATAAAATAGTCGACGAGGGACTATGAAGTTTTTCTCTCAACCAATTTGCAGTACAAAGGAAATTAAATGGAGTAGCTTTATTTTATAGTCGATGTGGGACTATAAAGTTTTTTTGATGGTATTAGTATTTTTATATTTCTAATTAAACAACTTTTTTTAATAATAGTGTACCGCTTATTATATTTGAACGTACTATGAACCTAAATAGCGTACCAACTCTGTATACCTTTCATTTACCTAATTCTTTGAGAGTTGCGAACTGCATACCCGAATTCGTACCACGCACCGAAGTGAATTGTAAATTATGTGACTATGGATGGGATAGTGTGATCCCTCTGCGTTAACAAATATCTGAATTTAGCTTCACCCAAAAACCATATTTGTGATCCGGTTTCTTCCAAACCTTAAATCAACTATGAAATGTGTCCAAACTCGTTTTGGGCATTTTCCCTTCCCTCAATACATCAGCTCAACTGTTTATGTGGACTGGCGTCTCCCATCCCTTCTGGTGGTAATTTGTTGGTTCAAGTCCTTCAAGTTGATTTTAGGGTTCCTCTACTTCGGTTTTGCTAGTTCAAATTCTTCCTCCGTTCCTCTGATTTGAGTTCTCCGCTACAAATCAATTTGCTGGTGCCTGGTTCCTCGGCTTCTGTATTATTTTCTGTTTCCTTTCGTTAGTGCTTTTTTTTAATGGTTGTCCCCTGTTTCTGTCTGCTGCACCAAAGATGTTTCCAAAAAGCTAAGGCCAAACTGGTGTTAGTTGTGATGCAAGCCCAAGCTCAGCTGTTTTGTTAATGGTACTAGTCCTGCTGCTGGGGCACTTGTTAGAAATTTGGTGTTTTGTACTTTCCCATTTGTAGTTAAGTTGTACTAGTCAAAGTTAATTTGCTACTTATGAATTGTTTGTGATTTCCTTAAGATTTTAAAATTTAAGTTCAACGTGGTGTTTGTTCTGTGATACTGTGATTTAGATCAGTGTTATCAAATTGCGGCGTCATGCCTGCTATGGTGGATATACATGGCGGTTTTTGGCCTCGCCGCAATGCTAAATATTGGCCGATATTGCGGGTTTTTCCGTCATAATCCGCTATAACGGCGCCACAAAGCGGCCGCTATGGCGGAATTTTGGCTCCCATAGACCGCCATCCGCCATAGACAACACTGATTTAGATCTCTTCTTTCTTCTATTTTTCTATGTATGTTATTTTGTATGCATGTTTATGAACATATATATGCACCTACCTATCTACAGGTTTTCATAAATTTTGTAGGATCTTCAAGAATGACTTAAGATCTTGAGTTCCCAAGTTGATCCCATGTGAAATCTAGATTTTAGTCATCTTTGTTTGTTATTCATTGTTTCATTGTTCACTGAATACTTCCCATGTGAAGCATTAATAATATTAATTACAGTATCATATTTTGTTTGGAAATGTATATAAGTAGAGAGCAGAGTTATTAATAGCGGCCGCCCCGGGCGCTATCTCGGAATTCTCTCCCGGTGCGGCAACCCTCCGCTACGGAGGAGCGGCGTGCATCCCAGTTTTGGATAGCAGCCAGGAAAGCTGGGATAGCGGGTTGCGGGAGCGGAGCGCTTCCCGGCCCAGAGCGATTTTCTGCTTTTAGGGCTTTTTTGGAGTGTGAAAAGATCTTTTTACCCTTAAAAAAATTTTAAATTGGAAAATTTATTATAGTCGTTCGTGTTTTCTCCTCTCTCATTCGCGTTTTCACCTTTCTCCATCGTGTTTATTCTGTTCACTGCTTCTCGCGTTTTTCGCTCGCTGTTTTTCTTGCCCTAACTCCATATCCACCTCAACTGCTTCGAGTTTCTCACTATTCTTCTTCTTTACTTCTGTTTTCTGCTTTTCTATTTTGTTCTCTTTTCTAATCATTGTTTTTCTATTCATTTTCAGGTTTTTTCTTTGTTTCATATAATTAGTCTAGAAAGTTATTTAATCTCCATTAAATGTATAGGTAGATTATTCATATAATTAGTCCAAAAAGTTATCCCGCTATCCCACTTTTGGGGTCGGCCGCTCCGCTCCGCTATCCGGGATTAATAACTCTGATAGAGAGAAAATGTAAAGATGTCTTTTTGAAGGGAATATAATATTATCATAGAATTTTGGCAAAGATGTAGCACATAGTGCAGTGTTTGTTTTTGCAGTATTCAATAGTTTTTAGTGTGATTTGTATATGAAGGAGTTACCTTTCCGTAGTTGCACAGGAACTATTTCCCCCACTGTGTAATGCTAATGTCTGATTTTTCACATAACCTTTCTGTTATTCTACATCTCCTGTATTTTGAGTCTCTACCTCTTTTTTTCCTCTTCCAATTCTGTTCCTGTAGTTGGTTGTATATTTGCCTGTTTTCTGCCTTGAAAATTGAATAATTAAAACCGAAATCCCCAATAATTGTTGCTGTGATCGTCTATTATATACAGTGGATTATTATCTTTATAAATGCGCTTGAAGATTGTGTATCCTTCATTGCTGATTGCACTGGTTTTTAATTATTTATCGTTCAATTATGTTTGAAGAATGTTTATTGCCTGCTAACAACTTTAGTCATTAACCATTGTTCTTAAACAATGTTTGTGCGTCTAAATGATTGAATGCCAAGAGTGCCTTGACAAATAAGAAATGACTCAAATATGAAAAAAGGAAATGGAGAAAGATCAAGTCAAAAGGAATGAAAAATGAAAAGACGGCCTTCAGTAATAGTTTTCTTATATGCAAATATGCGTCTAAATGATTGAATGCCAAGAGTGCCTTGACAAATAAGAAATGACTCAAATATGAAAAAAGGAAATGGAGAAAGATTAAGTCAAAAGGAATGAAAAATGAAAAGACGGCCTTCAGTAATAGTTTTCTTATATGCAAATATAGAACGTACAAAATAAATATTGGGAGAGGAAGTAAATTTGAATAGTAGAACATTTTTATGTTATTTGAAACCCCGAAAATAAATGGAAGTAATAAACAAGAAATGGAATATGATTGGTACATTGGGAACCTGAAATGAAGGTCTAAACCATAATACTTTTGAATTTTCTTGGTGGAAGCTGTCTGCTTCTAATTGAAATATTCTTTGAATTAATTAAATTTGAAATTGTATACAGGCATTGACACGAGCAAGAGTTCCTATAGTAAAGCTCATGGATCCAGTTACAGGAATCTCTTGTGATATATGCATCAACAACCTCCTTGCTGTTGTAAATACTAAGCTTCTCCGGGATTATGCAAATATTGATACTAGGCTACGGCAGCTGGCTTTTATCATTAAACACTGGGCAAAGTCAAGAGGAGTCAATGAAACTTACCATGGGACCTTATCTAGCTATGCGTAAGTTCTCTTCAGTTGCTATCTGTCAAAAGTATATTTTTCTTTGTGAATTGATTGAGTCATTGAAATGCTGATGATTGTGGTATAAAATGTTATGCTATTAAAGTTACTTGTGCAATTTCTAATTTCAGGTATGTGTTGATGTGCATTCATTTTTTACAACAGCGACGACCTGCTATCCTTCCATGTTTACAGGTGTGTATTGCAGTTTTCATTTTCTTTTCTTCCCGAGTTGAATTTACTGAGAATGGCACTTATGCAGTATTTTGAGCAAAAGCTTAGTTAACTCTTTCTTATTAAGCATAAACTGTGTAGTGTTTGTTGTACATGACCTACTATGTAGTGTAATACATGAATTTGTTGGTTAAATATTATTTTCTGTATAGGGGATGGATGCAACATACTCAGTTACCGTTGACAATGTGGATTGTGCGTTCTTTGACCAAGTTGAAAAACTAGGTCATTTTGGACAACATAACAAGGAATCCATTGCTCATCTTGTGTGGGGATTTTTCTTTTATTGGGCATATTGTCATGACTATGCAAATTCTGTTATATCTGTCCGCACAGGAAACACAATCAGGTAAGAGAACTCAGCATCTATAATTTTCTGTCACAGTAAACCATCACTAACACTAAAGTGCTAAAACTAACATCTAATATAGACTTTTCATTTGATTGAATATGTTTTCTTCTGGTGTAGCAAGCGAGATAAGGATTGGACAAGAAGGGTTGGTAATGATCGGCATTTGATATGTATAGAGGATCCTTTTGAAATATCTCATGATCTGGGTCGAGTGGTTGATAAACGCAGCATCAAAGTTCTCAGAGAAGAGTTTGAACGTGCTGCAGATATTATGCAGTATGATCCAAATCCATGTGTTAAACTTTTTGAACCTTATGTTCGTAGCAGTTGATTAACAAGTTGTTTTGAACATAGATTTCTAGGTGAGGTAATGAACGCTTTGTCTTGTAGAGTTTCTTTTGCCGCACACTTTGATATTAATTAACCTCGTCTTATGTTTATATATGTGTATTTATTTTGAGCGTTTTAATGGCATCTCAATGTAAAGAACTTTTGGTCTTGATCTTTTTATTTGAAGTAAGAGTTTGTTTGCTATTATTTTCCCCTTTACTCTCTAACACAAACATATTATTCTAACAAAATTCTGTAAGAGATCAATGTGTGAAAGAGTTTTGAAGAATCAATTTATAATAAATGTCAAACTTAAATAAAGAAGATTTTTAGTGTGATTTTACAAAAATGATTAGAGCGATTAGAGTTTAAGATTTAGTTATTAGAAAAGAATACACTAACTGATAAAAAAAGATTATGAATGAAAGGTGAAAGGTGTATTGTGTGCACAATAAAAATGATCTAAAACCGTGTTTGAATAAACAATATTGAATTTTTTTTTTAATATAATATGTTTATTCAAAATAATTTTCAGATAAATAATTCAAAAAAATGACGAAAGTAGTTGGGTTTAGACGAGGATTTGCTATATGAAATGGTTGCAAGTCTCCCATGGAACATGGATTCAATTGGGTGCCTTAAAACCGCACCCTAAAACTCTACAATGAGTCGACATATGAGATGACGTATCTCATGTAGGGTTTATTTATTTATTTATTTTTTAATTTTTAATATTTGTTTAAAAAATCTTATAAAAATTATAAATTTTAAAAAATAATAAATATAATTCTTGATATTTAATATTTGATATTTTTAATTTTTTAATTTTTGATATTTGTTTAAACCCTACATTGTTAATTTTTGATATTTGTTTAAACCCTACATTGTTAATTTTTGATATTTGATATTTGTTGTAAAAAAAATATAATTCTAAAAAATAATAAATTTTGTAAGGGTATTTAAGACATATCATATATGGTCCGTACTATTTTATTTTTATGTAAATAAGACTGCACACTCATATAGTTTTTCACAATAATTTTTACCAATAGATTCAAGTCTTCATAATTTTGAATTCGGTCTAGAATGTCTGCATTTCTAAATCAACGTTCATCGTCGTCGTCATCATCGGAAGAACCGTTTTCAACATTTCCTCTAATTAAAAGAAATGTCATAGTTTATTTTTCAGCAACAAAGCCTCCGATAAAGGTGCTAATGTGAAACACGCAAATTTTGGAGCATTTGCATAGGGAACTGAACCGCTGGCTAGAAGGAGATATTGTTGCAGGTGAAAAGATTTGGAAAACTGAGAGGTTGGTTGAGGAGTCAGGGAGATACGGAGTTACTCGTGATTGGAGAAAAGTGGAAAATGATGCTGGTGTCCTTGTGATGATGTTAACACCAAAGAAGATATCCTTGATGATTGGAATATCCTAGACAACTTGATGCATTGTTTTATTTTATGTAGGTTTGTTGTTGTTATTTTCGGAATGTTGTTGTGATATTAAATTATGTTTGTTAAATTTATGTTGCTTGTTAATTGTAATCGCTTAACTATGCTTTAAATTGAATAAAATTTGCTGTTGATTTAAAGGGACACGACTACATTAGAAACTATGATCTTGTGCTTGATGCTACATTGGAACATTTTGTACGATTGTGTCATGGTTGCCGATACGAACTACATAATCTGACCATTTTGTTTGCTGCATCCATCTTCGTTCGAATGCGCGTGCTATTAAGGCGACCATTTTTCTTTCTTCGCATCTATTCATTATGCCAGACAATTTCGCCTTCATATGGAGGTCAAGAGTCCTTCTTTGTCACCAATTGAAAGCTACATGTGTAGACATTGCATAGACTTATCACTTGGTGAACAACAGAAAGATAGTTGGTTGGGTCCTGGCGCGCCTTCGAACATGTTGCTATAGCATGAGAGCAAGACATACGAAATACCTGAAACTTTCCACAGTCACACAAACTCCTATCCAGTTCCACTCGGTAACATCCCCTAGGCCTTCCTTCATTGTGATCAATTGACTCGGCAACACTGAACCAACCTTTATTACGGTCAAAGATTGTGACCACATGTGTGTTGACTTTGGTAGCCTCGTCTTTCATGAATTTTGTTGAACTATTACTGTACATCTGACCAGATTGTAATACTGAACCCCACTTTGTACGTCTGTTATCAAAGAATGCCCCGAGCCTAAAATATGTTGCCTTTACCAAGGCAGTTATCGGTATGTTTCGGATTCCCTTGAAAACATAATTCATTGATTCAACGAGGTTAGTTGTCTTGTGGCCCATCGCACCCCATTGTCGTATGCCCTTGTCCATTTCTCTTTATCAATATTATCAATCTATCTTAATGCATATGTGTTTGTCAGTCTGATCTCGTCACAGTAGTGTTTGAATGTGGGCTCTGTTAGTGCATATCCTGCATTCACAACCTTCTTCCTTAGTGTTTTGTCTTTGATTTCCCGCATGAAATTTTGGGTGATATGTCTTATGCAATACACATGGGTCGAGGGAGGATCCTACCAACCGTTATCAAGATTCTTGTATGCACTCTCGATTGATAGGTGTCTATCAAAGATCAAACACAAGTTAGGTTGGGGAGAAACATAAAAGCGGAGATTTTTTAGGAAAAAACTCCAACCCCCAACAGTCTCCTCTTCAACTAAAGCGAAGGCTATTGGAAAAATGTTGTTGTTCTTGTCCTGTGCCACAACCATGAGTAGCGTGCTCTTATATTTCCCTTACAACCATGTGCCATCAACTTGAATTATAGGTTTATAATAAGCAAAACCTTTCATACATGGTTCAAACGCCCAGAAGAGTATGTGAAAAATGCCATTTCCACTAACGTAAGTCCCGTCTGGTGTATATGCCGACATTGTCTCCAATATGGCAACAGTCCCTGGAGAATATTATTTGAGAGCCACCAAGAATTTTGAAGTTCTTTATAAGACTCCTCCCAATTTCCAAACACCCTTTCAACCACTTTAGTCCTAGCTATCCATGCTTTTCGATACGAAGGAGTGTAATTGTACCTTTGAACCATATGTGAAATTATGGTACTCACCTTCAAAGAAGGGTTATTGCTAATGAACGATAGAATCTCATCGCAACTCAATTAAGAGCCGAGCTTGCGATGGTCCTGCATCGAGTTCATGATTATACAAGTGTGGGCTAGACCCATTGACTATATCTTCCATGAATCACTTCTCTTTTGGAAAGACGCTGTTAATCGAAACAAACACACGTCGTTACGGCAATAGATCTTATACAGATTCGGATTTGTTCGATTGACTCTATAATCTGCTGATAAGTCCATATGATATTGTTTAATTGCTCGGACACAATCTTCTTTTGTACGAAATTTGTCGCCCTCTTTTAATAGTCCTTCTGTTGCGTAGTTAGGGTTGTAAATAATATCTGTTGAGAGTTCATCGTCACCTAAGTCGAGACTTGTCATGTGTTGAGGTGAGCAATAAACATGACTGGGTGGAACTCCCTCTTCCTCGTTGTTTACCATGTCGTCGAAAATGAATTCAGTTGCTTCTTCTTCTTCTTCAATGGCATCGACTTCAGCGTGTTCCTCATCAGATTCATAAAAAACTTGAGAAGAATCAAGTTGTTGAGAGAGTTGTTGTTGTTGTAATGTAACATATAACACAATATCTGAGAAACCGGAATACTCATGACTGCAGAACATGCTACGCACATCTTCATCGTATCGAATCTTTAATTGGAAAAATTTGCATTGATCGTGTCTGTTGCACCCCAAAATTTGACCAACCATTTCTCGCATTTTGGCTTATGTTTCATTTCATGTTGCATTTGCATAACATTTATTGCACGCTGTGCATTTCGTCAGTCAGAGTGACTTATCGGGATTACAGCCCCTTTTCTCGCGTCTCAGGAAATTTAAACCGGTTCAAGGAAAAGAGATTTATTTCGAAATCGAGTGAATTTTGCTCTTTCTGGTGGCTCAGCCTATGCTGGTATTTTCGATTGTGTTTCGATGTTTGTCCGATCTTTCCGTTATTGTTTCACTGCTTTGTGTGACTTTTATTCTTTCTTTCCGCTTTATAGTTTTATTTAGACCTTATTTAAATAATAGGATTTTTATTAATTATTTATTTTTGATATATAGCATTTAATAGTTTTAGGTACTTGAATTATTTTAGGATTTATATAGAATTTTAACTAGAGTTTTTTTTAAATAGTTTAATATTAATAGTTTAGAAATAGGTTTATTAGGTTCAGTTATTTTTCAATATTATTAAGATTTTTTTAGTTTTAAATTAGGATTGTTTGATTTAGAATTAATTAAGTAGTTTATTAGAATTTTAATTAATTAAATAATTACTTCAGTTTAGTGTTTTATTGAGTAAGCTTTTCACTAATTCAACACCATTAACTTGACCGTGTCATCAGCATTTTAATCAAAATTAATTCAAAAGCAGCCTTGCCACGTGTCACTCTCTGGGGTATATATTCACTATTCACCTTCTCCTTCCCAGAAGGAACCCTAATTTCAGCAGCCTCCAAACCCTAATTCAGCAGACAACCCTAACCCAAAAGAACACCAACCCTAGCCGCCCTCTCCCATCTCAACTTCCAACATCAGCTTCACCAATATTTCACCATCGTTCATCAACCGTTTTCTACAAACCTCCATACCCATCCTCCATTTTTCAACACCACCCAGAATCATAAACATCTTCCAACTTCCGTTCAACTCTTCACTGTGAGAACCCTTTCAAAACTATCCAACAACCGAACAACAACCATAACCGCGAATCCAACATCAGACAACAACAACCTTGTTATTTGCAAGGATGAATTTGTTTTACGCCTTAAATCTGAACCCACAAATCACCGTCCGAAAACCCAGGTTCACCTTCGAACCTCAACCTATTCGAGTCACCTCCATCATCTCTTCAGCCATTACTCCACCTTCAAAACATTCATTCACTCAAAACCGTTTTC